TCAGGTATACATTTAAACTCTTGATGAAACCTCATCTGTTTACTCAAATCAGAAGAAAAACACCATCTGCAGGAAACAAGGCAGCAGCTTATTGATCCAGCATTACATGGTTGACCTTCTCCACGTGAAATGTTTAGCCACATTATGTTGAAATACAAAGCAAAGATTAGGAAGCAAACACCTTCTCATTTCCTCTGACAATACACTCTATAACTGTGAAATATACTGAAACCCCCGCACTACTAAATTCAGTCCTTTAATGCATGGCTCAGGAAGTTATCTATCATAACAGGAAGAAAGTACTAAAGATGTTCTTGAAGACAAAATCTGACAACATTTAAACTCTTGAAATATTTTCTTCCAATAATAACTATATAGTAAAATAATTTTATAGATGGTGAAAAATCACAGAACATAAAATGACAAGCGGCCTTAGAAATCACCTAACTTCAACCTGTTTTTCCATATATTGATAAATTAGGGCCTTGGTATCAAGGTTTTACTCTGCTCTATGGCACTTTTCTATAACGTAGATGTTTTCTCTGCTATGGCTAATAGAGATTTGACCCTATTCTCCTAGGAAATTTTTATTTCTTTTATATAAACATGTTCCTTGCTTTCAATGCCTGATAGGGTCATGTCAAAAGGACTCAGGAGTCAACCTAAAGTAGTTCCCACTGGCCAAAGTCGGGACAATTTGAATATCTAAAAGAATGACTGTGTTTGAGTGAAATTCACTAAACATATAAAAATCAACAAGCCAATAAAGATACTCGAAAAAAGAGACAAAAACCTGAGATACTTATTATACTAACGGCTTATTCTAAAACTTGGTAAAGGAAAAAATTAAGTTTTTATCCTCCATTTCAAATTAAAAAACTGTATTTCATGGTGATCATATAGCCTACACTGTTAAAGGAAAGCTATTTGGCACAGAAAATTGCAAGCATATAAAGTCGAATAAATGTTAAAATGTAAAAATCCCATTTTAGGGTACAGAGCTTCAGTTTGGCAAAATGAAATCAGTCTGACAACAGTGTCAGTGTACCTAACACTACTAAACTGTTTATTTAAAGATGGTTAAGATGATAAATTTCATGTTATATGCACTTAAAATCCTATTTAATCCCCATTTTGCCACTCCCAATAAGATTAACTGATTCGACTAAGGATAACCAATAAATACTAACATTATTCAACAGATATAATGAAAGACAGATAAGGAACTAGATATTTGTATGGTTCCAAAGTCTCACCTCTCCCAGGCTATACGTTAGTCTCAAAGAGAAAAATATAATTTTACATTGGGGAGATCAGTCATCACTCTAATCAATTCTTCCTTCACTAATAATGAGGAAGCTACATTTGTGGGTCCTGATATGATGCAAAGTCTTATCAAAAACATACATTCTGAAGCTGATCAATGATTTAGCTCTAAATTCCACTTTATATTAAACACAGAGTATAGAAGACTAAGCTTAATAACCACTACATGGAAACAATCAGACAAACCTAGAAAAAGAAAGATTCAACTATGTAGGCATCTTCTGGTATCTCTACAACAGATTGTTGTCATGAATAGACAATAAAAAGAGAAAGGAAGTGACATAACAGTAACCAAAACCAAATGTAGTATGTGCTCCTTGACAAGATCCTAGCTCGCTTGCTAAGCTATAAGGTATGTCATGGGGACGACTGGAGAGAGTTTAACATAGACTGGATATTAGATAACATTAGAGTAGTATTGTCAATTTATTATTATAGGCAAATAGAGTATTTTGGTTAAATGGGAAAATATCCACAATTTTTACAAATAATAATAAAGAAATAGGGTGAAAGGTCATGAGTTCCATAATTTACCTTAAGATACTTCAGAGAAAAAAATATATAGTGTAAAAAGTTAATGCAAAGAAAAAAGCTTCTAGATAATGATCATCAATGGCTGCTAAAAACCACTAGGTAGCCCTGGCTGATGTGGCTCAGTGGATTGAGCGACAGCCTGCAAACCGAAGGGTCACAGGTTAAGATTCCCAGTCAGGATACACGCCTGGGTTGTGGGCCAGGTGCCCAGTAGGGGGAACGCAAGAGGCAACCACACACTGAAGTTTCTCTCCTGCTCTTCCTTCCTCCATTCCCCTCTGTCTACAAATAAATAAATAAAATTGCGGGGGGAGGAAACCCACTAGGCAAAAGCTTGATGAGAAACTTTACAATGCACAGATCAAGCTGGCTAACAATATCTGTGCCCATTGGTCTACCTTCATTCCAAAAAGAGAGCCAAACATATATGTGTCTTTTGAAGAGATACAGTAAGAAATAAACACCAACTATGAAGAATTCTCCAAACCACCACCACCAAAATCAACCTTGAATCTAATTACTACCTTGAACCTGATTAGGCCTCAGATCTACCTCCAATTTACAGAAAATTCAGAAGATAGAAACATATTAAACACTACTACAGGGATGCAATCAACAAAATCCAGAATGTGGTAAATACTAAAGAAACAGCAGTTTCTTCACCAAATAAACTAAAAGAAAAAGAGGTGAAATAAACTACTTAAGATATTTAAGAGATATAGCAATCAAGTAAAATGTGGACTGTATTTGGGTCCTAACTTCAACAAATCACCTATAAAAACATTTAGGAAACAAAGGGGAATATATAAACACTCACTGAGTATTTGCTATTAAGGATATATTAAATTTTTTAGATACGACAATGGAGTTGTGATTTGGTTTTGTTTTTTTAAATTCTTACCCATCACAGACATATAAAAAAATATTTATGAAGTGATAATAATGTCTGTGGTTGGCTTTAAAACAATCCATCATGGGACCGAGTGGGAAGACAGGGGTTTAGGGGCACATAAATAACACAAATTGACCATATGTTGATAGCTACAAGATGGGTGCATAAAAACTCACTATTCTATCCCATCTCTTTCTGTTGGCTTCCATTATAAAAAAAATTTTTTTAAAAAGATGAATAAGAAGGCAGGCAATGAAGCCTAATTATATCATATTCACCTAACCACAGAATCATCTTTACGGACTACCTAACATAATGAGCACCAACCAAAATAAAATAATATAAAATCTAGCAAAAGATTTATCAACACTGACAAAAGAAATTTAAAAAGATGTAAGGCCTGCAACTCAAACCTCATAACAAATGAAAAAAAGAGAAGATTCTGGTCAACAGCAGTGTGAGTCCATACCCAATTTTTAAAAACTATAGTAAACAAGAGGGGAAAAACTAGGTGGTGAGAATATGGACATTCATTATACTAGCTTCTCTATTTATTTGTACATTTGAAATTTTCCACAATAAAAGGTAGGAATAAAAAGATTACAAACATCCCTCCGATCACTGTAGAACACATTTATTTGATTGCCTACATATATTGACTGGTTGCTTTCTGACTTGCCATTTTCCCACTTTTATCCTTTTACTTCCAACGGCCAAGGAGGAACAGGGAGAAACCTCAGTCACTAACAATACTTGTTTTCTGGGTGGGAAATTTAACTAGCAAAACTGAACTGTTTCTACATTGGTTTGAAAAATCAAGACTGATTTTACAGTAAAATGTCACACTTTAACTGAAAAACGAGCTTGTGGTCTACAGAAATTACTATGGCATCTGCTTTCTTCCTTTCTTTTTTGGAAATGAAGCTGGCCTAGAAATTCTTGTGTAACTTGTATTTGGATGTGGTGTTTGCAGAGGATTATTATCTTCCCAAATTTCTAAGTGGTTCCATCTGTTTTTATGGTGAATTTGGCTTAGGATAACTTCAAAAAATGAAGAACTAAGAAACCCAATCACCTTTGGTATACTTTTTGAGTGGTTTTAAGAAAAAACAGAACCAATAAAATATCCACGACAAAAAAAAATTTTCTAATTGAACCCAAAGCTGATTTTAGAAACCTCTGAAGTAACTACCAATTTACAGGACAGAGTAACAGGTTAAACTATACCATGGGGATGAAACCAGAAAAATAAAAATGGTGGGAATGATATAGGACAAGCAACCCAGTTTCTTCAAAATAATTAATTACAAGGATATACAGGCGGGGACAAAAGTAGATTTACAGTTGTGAGTATATGAAACACAGTCATTCTTGTACTACTTATTAATTGTTATTATTTATTTGTATTATAACAGTAAACCTTTTGCCCATCCCTGCATAAAAGAAGAGAGAGAACCTATAGATTACACAGAATCACTAATCGTAATTACATAGACTTAATCTAAACCCTAATTCAAACAATGAAGTTTGAAAGATAAAAGACAACTGGAAATGTGAACACATTAAATATTTGATGATATTAAGGATTTACCAGTAACATTTTAAGGTGTAATAATGGTATTATGAGTTTTTTCAAAATATCAAAATATATGTAGATGAAATAATGCCTGGGGTTTGCTTCAAAATAATACTGTTGTGGTGAAGTGAATAGGGATATAGATAAAATAAGACTAGCCATGAGTTGATACTTGTTTCATCTGGGTGATCGAAATGTACAGGTAATTTTTTATATATATAAAATTTTTGTGTGAAAAAATGAAATAATAAAGTTAATTTATAAAATTAAAACAAAATTTAAAAATAAAATTCACACCTACAAAAGAACTGAGAAATATTTGACTTAAGCAAGTAGAATAGAGGCAAATAAATTCAGAATTAATATTTTTCACTTAAATAACTTTACTCACCTTAAAATTTGAGCAAGTCACAAAATTAAAAATCAAAATATCCTGGAAGACATGTCAGTGATCACAAAGTACAAAACTCTTTTTTTCCCAAAGTTGCTATAAATATACCACGAAAGTAAGTGTTTTGCCAAAATCCTGTTTTTCCTCTGAGGAAGGACACTTTAAATGGCTTTCTCCACAGAAACAAATAAATGAGGCACAGTCAACATGTGACACAGATTAGGGCTTATTTCAGGGCATCTGAATCATTTAAAAGAGACATAAGAAGCAACATAACTTACCCAATTGTCACAGTTAGTAACTGCTGACCTGGGACTGGAACTTGGGGGCTGGAACAATTTTCTTTCTGTCCTCTGCTCCTTTCAGAAAAAAAGGTGGGGGGGAAGGGAACAATATCAGGTAACTGATTTGTTAAAATTCCAGTCACAATAGACTCAGGACACACTCCCACAAGTCTGTACTTTACAGAACATACCAGTGATGCCCAAAGTTTCAACAATATATCTGGCACTTCAAGATACTGAACCGAAGACACAAATTTAGATCGCTCAGTGGTGCTTAGAACCATTGACTTCAGCAACTTCTTGGTGACCTGTCAACATTCCAGATGGCCTGAACATTCCATTTTTAAAAACAGCTGGGGGTGAAGGAACACAGATATCAGCGGTTACCACCTTACTTTCTACATGCTTCCACTCTCTCACACCTTTCTTCTTTAAATTAAAACCAGTAAAGGAACATGAGTAGCATCTCATTAACTGCTTTCAAGTTTCTGACTAAAAACTACCCCCACAGTGATCAAATTATATCCTAATACAATAGTGTAGTGCTGGTTCTGGTTCAAGTATGTACCTCTGAGGAAGGGAACGCAAGTAGGAATGCAGTGTGAAGAAAAAATTTACATATTTTTAGGGATAATATAGGACAGCAAATAATTACTATAGGCTCTGGAATCAGAAGGCCTGGGTTCAAACCCCTGCTCTGCCATTAATGAGCTGAATGACCCAGAGCACAGTACTAAACCTTGCGAGTTACTGAATTTTCATATCAGGCCAACCTACTCACCACACAGTACAGTGAGGCCAATACTCACTACACATGGTTACTGTGAGGATTAAATTAGTAAGTATTATACAAGTGCTTATAGAACAGATTCTGACACATACTTAGTATTAAAGAAATGTTACCTATTATAAACATTTTCTAATTCAATATGTAATATCCTTACAAAGAGAGCATATACAATATTTTATGAAAGTACAAATTAAAATATAAAATAAATTATCTCAAACATAGTAGTCCTGCCTGTATTCATTATCAAAAGCACTTCAAATATTAAGCTACAGTCAGCTTCATCTATAATGCCCATGTTTTACACATTTCTAAACTAGTGTATGATCAATGTCTGAGGCACACACTTTCCCTTCTCTACAGCCAGACAGGCCACACACGCAGCAGGTTGATGGGATTTTATAACAACTGTGGAGTCACATTAAAATCCAGTCAGCTGGAAAAATAAAAGTTTCACTTGGTTCCAACATATTGCCACTAAACTATACCAAGCAAAAGAAGAATTAGAGAAAAAGAAGGTGGGGGAGACAGGACAGAGGGGAGGAACAGAGGAAGAGGTGTGTAAGGAGCAAGGGAGAAAAGAAAAAAAATAAAAATATAAAAACATTAAAATCTAGTGTAAATACATGCAGGAGTCATAGGGGGAAATTCATAAAACATCAATATTAAAATGGAATTTGAGGATCTGATTTAGAAATTGTTAGGTATTTTTTAACATTGGCTAAAGCATTTCCTATGTCCACAATATTACATTTAGGTGAAACTGCTTTCATCAGTCAAAACTATATTTATGTGTTTATTGCAAAAAAAAAAAAAAAAAACAAAACCCCACAAGCGAACTGACTATGTCATAATGAGCTTTCTTTTGGAGCCCAGAAAGTACACATCCAAAAGAGGGAAGGGGAATATCTTATATACAAATGAAATTATATAATGTCTAGAATTTGCTTCAAAATAATGGGGGTGGGGAATTATCAGGGAGTGGAAGAGAAATATAAATGAAGCAAGACTGGCTATGTGCTGGGAATTGTCAAAGCTGGCTGAGGGTACATGGGGTTTATTATATTACATCACTATTTTCTCTACTTCTGAATGTATTTTAAATTTTTCATAATTCAAATTTTTAAAAAGAAAAACACAATGGAACATACTTTCTCCAAAATATATCACTTCAATAGATAATCACACAGCAAAAGTACGTCTTTTAAAAAATCTAGTAATGACAAAAAAAAAAGTCCTTAAAAAAAGCCTAATTATCCTTCACCACTATCATGTATATACTGCACAGAGCGAACACACAGATCTCAGATCTACAGAATGCTCTAGAATCCACCCTCACGTCTTTGGATTCAAGCTTGCAGGACTGAGGATGAAAGTGAACTGGGCTCAATTAGGGGAAAGTAGAGGCACATCTGCACTACATATGCTGCCCACATCTACAGCTCTGCACTGCAGAGCTGCAAAAGTTCAGAGTATCTCCAACATACCTTTATTTTTCTGTTTGCAGGAGGGAGGAATACAGGGGTAACACGAACGAATGTATTCACATTCCCATATGTGCATGATTTAAAACAGACAATCTTGGCATTAGGAAATTAAGATGCAGGCTTTACTGATGTTGATTTTAATGGCGAAGATCCAAAAACAGTTCTGGTTACAAACTAATGGATAAACTCTTGATTCCTTTGTTAGTGGACAGACCCAACTCATTTCTTGCCACTTTAACCTTTCTCATGTACAATTTTTAATCATTTTATTTTTTAAAATACGTTTTTCCTTTTCTCATTAAAAGAAGTGGATTAGAGATAATTTTTCATGGGAGATCATTTAGCAGATTTTTTTTTTTTTAACCACAGTCAAAAGCAATTAAACAGAGTATACTGGGGAAAAGTAAAAGATTATTATAATAAAAATGGGCTCCAAAAATAACGGCTGAGTATGCACCACTGTCTAGCATATGACCACTGCCACATTTGCTTTTCATATACCCATGAAGGCATTTGCCACCATTTTCCAATAATCCCATAGGTCACATGCTTCCTTGTTTTTTTAATAGTATTTCAAAATGTTGACACATTTATTGAACTATTTTTGGAACACCTAGCTCTGTCTACCTTCTGGCCTCAAGATACAAATACATGAAAGCTACAGGACAGCCCTCTAGCTACAAAACTTGGCAGACCTCCTGAATTCCCCAAAAAAACTTTAATTGACAATTCCATTAAAAGCGAGAGAAAACAATGCAGAGCGAACAGCTCTAGACACAAGGAGACCTTGGCTGTGCCTGAAGCTCCATTATTGAATTGCCAAATGACTTTGGGTAAGTTTAACATCTTCCTGACTCATTTTTCTTACCTGTCAAATCTATGGTATGAAATTGCTTTAACAATCAAATGAGAAAGTGTTCTTATAATTGATTTTGAAGAGAAAAAAAATTTACAAATTAAAACTGAATTTTAAAAAGGAAAGAAAATGCTTAGAATTCCATGCCACACTCACCATATAGTTTCATGCTGTTACATACTAGGAGAAAGAAGAAATGAACAAAGCACCTAGATTAAGAAAATTGTATTTTGAAACTACCCAATGTTTCTCAAGTGTTGTTCACAAACCTACTTTACAATCTTTGCCAAACCTAAGAGCTACTATATTATTATTTATTATTGAGTACTAATCTTTAGATCAAGTCACTTAAAAAATACTTATTTAGCCTTACACTAATATCAATTAAATCACAGTTTTGAAGTATTTGTACATTTTTCTGATGCCTGCTGACACATACATTTAACCACTGTAAGAAAGATCCATCTGTGTACCATCCCAAATCATTTTAACATGCCATCACATTTTAAGGAAATACTGTCCTGATCTATTGCCTATACCACCTTCAACATTAATGAATAGAGTATTTGAACCTATAAACCACTAAAACCCCCTGGGTAATTTAACCAACACTAACCACACGCATGCATGATGAGCCTTTGGGTCTTCTTGGAACTCCCTCAGACCTCACAGCCACTACCTTATGCAGAACCTCCATTTTTTTCTTACTTCCCTCAAACCCCATACATAAAAATCCCTTAAAGTGTGTATCTTCACATTAGGGTAATTCCCGCTTGCTATTCATACCCTAGTAATGAAATTTTTCACCCTAAAAGTATTTAACAGAACCCACCTGTCTTACATGTTTCCTCTATATTCAATATTCAAAGAATATCCAAATTTATGTATACAAACCATGTGTCAACCAAAGATAAACTAAGATATGCAATAAATTCTAACATGGCCATTCCTGATACACATTCACCAAATTTGTTTTTGTTGTTTATATTTAAATCTAGTTCAAGTTATATTATATAACTTTTAAGTGCCTATAATGAATTAATTCTTACAATACTACAGAAAAAAAAACTAACATATTTGCTGATTTCCTCCTAGGAAGCACCTTCTTGTTCATCCACTTCCGTTCACTCTAGATGTTGACTAATTCACCGGACTTTTCTCTCTCTATGTACAAACATATAACTAACATTCAACTCAAGCATCTGGCATGAAAAAAAAAGGACCATTTTATTAGAGCTGCAGTCCTTACCAAATTGTGAGTACCACAGTATCTTGGGAATTTTACTTTTATCAATTTAAAACCCTAAAATCTGTGGATTAAACATGAGTTAATTTCTGTTTCTTCCCAAAACCACACTAAAATGACACCTTAGACAAATACACATTCACACACACACACACACACACACACACACACACACAGACACACACACACGGGAGGGGGCAGGCCAGCAGATGAGATATATCAACAGAATTTTAGAAGATGGAAAACAGATGTACAGAGTAACTGACTTAGCAGACAAGCGGAAGCCGAACCCTGAATTCCTATTTTGGTGAGGGCCTACCAGAAACAATACCACTGAGGGCTGAGGTGATAGAGAGTTGAAAACAGGAGACCAGTTATAAGTAAATACAAGGAACATTTAAAACTCTCTCTCCTTCCCTCCCCTCCTCCATCTCTCACTCTTCCCAATCCTTCGCAGCCAAAAACAGGAGGATCACTCTCCAGAGAAGCTGAGGGAGGAAAGGCTGTAGGTCAGGAAATCCAGATATAGGAGCAGATGTGAGGCACGCCACAGAAAACAAAGAGGTCCATGTATTCAGTGAACAAATACTCAGAGCGTAACCTACTCTGTGTCCAGGCACTGCTCTAGGTACCGGAAATACTAGGGCAAACAAAATAGACAAAAATGTTTGCCTTCATGAAGTTTATATTCCAGTGAGG